GATTAGGAGCTGATCCTTTGGGGTTACAAATAAGGAGGGGGCGGCAGCCTTTAGAATACATATACTCACATTCTCTTCAGAGCTGAAATTAGAGAAGAAAGATTTCTGCAATCCCTGCAAAGATCTTTCTTGCCGCCTTCCTGCAGCCGCCAGACATCCAGTTCGATCTCCAGTTGTGGGAGAAGTCAAGATTTGATCTTGACATCAGTTCTTTGAGAAAGAATTGATAGAAAGTTGTGCTCACGTGCCATCCTACTGTTTCTTGCGAAGGATAGAGTTCTTGGAGAAGAACACTGCTGATTCTGCTCCATCCTACACTGCGCCATCTTCAGGGGGAGCAGTCTTTGGATCCCTCCTTGGGCGTGAACACCTTTGTTGGGAGATATTATTTCTCCGTATTAGGTATAATCCTCTCCTACTCTTTTTGGTACAGATCTGGTTCAGTTTATGGTTCAAGATTGATCATTGAAAATATGATTTTCTAAATAGGGAATGTGATTCCCAATTGAAGGGAGAAAAAAAAATTTTGAAATTCGCCCCTTTATTCCGCAAGATTTGGGCGTCCATACGATAGATCTCTCATCCCTTCAGTCACACCCTCCCCAGGCCAACCCCTTAACATCCGGCAGAAGCGGCCAGAGTGTGAGTCAGCCACTAAGGACCCTCCAACCACCTCACACCTTGGACCTCCGAGACTACCTCAATGACCGATGGGCCAAAAGGAACCGAGATGCAGCTGGCCTGTCCCGCTGCCGTGAAGACCAAGACAAAGCCAGGGTGCTCGTCAGTTAGTAAATCGCTGACATACAAGCACAGATCGGCGCAGTGAAGGATGAAATTCGGTGATTCAAGGAAAGCCGAGGCAGCGCCTCGGCTAGTCAGCACCCTTCCACCAAGATGGACGCCTTCACCGTCGCCATCACCTTGGAACCTCTTCCGCCCCATTTCAAAGCTCCCACGCTGGAGAATTACGGTGGCACCTCGGACCCAGACGAACACTTGGAGAGMTTCCAAGCACACATGCTCTTGTATGGGTACTCCAACACATTGAAGTGCCGAGCTTCCCAGGCGACCTTCAAGGGGGCAGCTTGATGATGGTTTTCTGGGCTCCCACCCAATTCCATCAGCTCCTAGGACCAGCTTGCCCATCTCTTCCTCGCCCACTTCATCAGCAGCCGACGGCACCAGAAGAGCATTGTCTCACTCATGGCTGTCCGACAACGACGTGGCGAGAGCCTACGGTCCTACATTGACCATTTCAAGAAAGAAGAAATGGAGGTCTATGATTTCGACCCCATGGTCTTCGTGCACACAACAATCCAAGGCCTCCTCCTAGGGTCGGCCCTTAGGAACTCTATCACCAAAATGCTGCCCAAAACCAAAGCAGAATTTATGGAAAAGGCACAGAAGTATATCGCCGCCAAAGAAGCCTCGGCCGGCAAACGCCCAGGTGGAGAGGCTAACATCGACATTGACGCCGATATCGACCATGGCAATCACCAATGATGAGACAGCCGCGATGACGACCACAACGACTGGAAGCAGCTTGACACTGTTGACACCGATCTCATCACCCCATCTCAACGACCGTTGTCGTAGTCAGTCATCATCATCACCTCAGCCTCGGTTGCATCCACAGGCCAAACCATGTGACCACAAGAGGTCGACTTGGGCTGACTATGTGAAAACCTTTTTTTGTAAAAAAGAAAGTTTCCTTTACCTTGCCTCAAATCCTCAGCGCATACATTCTAGTTTCGATCGAGCGCCCTTCCCTAGCATACAACCTTTGCCAAGGTCATACGCTCGGACTGGACTACATTCCAAGGCACACGGCCCCTTGGGTGGCCGCCAATAGGAAGGCACTCAATTTTGGCCTCGGTCTCAGTGAGACTCTCTGAGTGAGCGAGTTCTCTTCCAAGTTTGAGCGTTGGCATTGACCCCCCCACTTGAATAGACATGCTGAAGGAAACAACTCCAACACCTCAACGGATGCACCCCAACGGTCTCACCTCGATGGATGTGCCCCAATGACTTCGCCTTGGAGGACACACCCTGATGGTCTCACCTCAGCAAATGTGCCCCGACAGCTTCGCCTAAGCGGACGCACCCCAATAGTCTCACCACAGCAGATGCACCCCAACGACTTCACCTCGGTGGGCGCACCCTGAAATCAAGACCAGCACCTCCTTGCCAGAAGACTGCTCTCTCTAGCTTGGCCACAGCCTAGGCCCTCGTCATAGAAGGCCGCACAGTGCCCCCTAGCAAGAACACTCTCTTCGGCTGAAGCCAAGGTCCTTAGCTAAGACCTCCACCACGGCCTTGAGAGTGGGGGGCAAGTGATGTAGGTGCATTTGGCAGGCCTTTGGCACATCGACATGTGGCTGGGCTCGGAGCGAATCAGTGCGTCAGATAGGACAGGGATCAGTGCCCAGCACGAGACCAACGGTGCGACCACGCGGCGAGCTTGGATGGTTGCCCACTTAGGGATGGATCACATCCTGACCATCCACAGCGTCCGCCAACAGGCAACCTCAAGTATAAATAGGGCATCACTTCCCCAAGGCAAAGGATCTTTTTTGGTGGAACGACTTTTTAGGATCTAGACCCAGAACCTGCACTCTAGCTCCCCAGTTTCCAGGTGACCTTGTCTGAACCCTTCGGACCTCATCCACTCTCCCTACTATGCCCTACTAACTTGACCGTCGGAGTCCCCGCCTCGAGTCTTCACCCGGGGGCCTCTGACGTTCCTTCCTTCGTAGGTTCTCGGCACTCCGCGGATCCCACTGGTCCTTGGCCTCAGCCTTCTTCGGACAACACCGATCCTTGGCCTCGGCCTTCTTCGGACAACACCAGTCGTCGGCCTCGGCCCTACTCGGACATCATTGATCCTCATCCTCGGCTCTACCTCGGCCGACCACAGCTCAGATCCTCCTAATCAGCTCGTCCAAGAAGCGGAGCACCAACAAATTTCTATATTGTAATATTTATTTTTATTATAGAAACATCATTTTGTTGGGTTTCAGAAACATGTATTGGTTTATTGAAACAAAATCAATTTGTTTTTGCTTTTCAACACAAAAATACAGTTTTAGATGTTTCCGTTTTCTTGATAATGTGGCAATTTTAAAAACAAATGAATGTATTTTCTTTTATTTGCTCAACAAGGATAACGAATGTATTTTCTTTTATTTTATTTTTACCATGTAGTGATGGTAGTGATCATCTGCGACATCTCCGTTACTTCCGTCTTTTATTTTTCCTGCATAAGAGACGAAGGAGAAGATTTTGAAGCAACTTCAATTCTTCTTTTTTTTTTTTTAATTTCCATCTCTACAATAATGGATACACAATAAAGAATATATAAAGGGAAAATAAAATAAACTACAAGTTTCTATCACCTGGTATGTGAGTGAACACATCCCAATTGCTGAGGCTTTTATTACCTTCTAGGTAGGCACCTTCAATCTGGGAAAATGAAAAATATAAAGAGGACGTTAATATATATTTTTTATTTTGTTTAATTTCTTTTTTTTTTTATTTTAGTTATGTTTTGTATGAATTAAGAAAATTAAAAACTAAGATTTGAGGCCAAAAATGCATCTTTGGCAAACTTACTTAGCTAACTCACTTTTGGCACCTTGTATCACATATTGCAAGAAATTACACAAAATAAAAAGGAAAAAGAGAAAACATCATCCCGGTTTACTAGTCTAACAACAATCCATGTTGCACCACTAAGAGTGGTTAAATTTGGTATTAATTTTTATTTTTTAAATTTATTTTAAATTAACTTATATACTTAATCACTTTTTATTAATGTTATTGATTTCTATTATGTTAAATCGAATTGAAATGGACTTGACATTAGTAGAAATTAATATTTATTAAACTTTTTAAAAATTGTTGTTTTCAATATTTTTAATAGAAAATTAAAACTCATTTTATGTACTTATTTTTAAGTGAAACTTAAATGGATTTCAAATTAATAAAACTTTACTGTTTTTAATAGTAATAATTATAACTATTATAATATTTTATAATTAATTATGAATTTTTATTAGTTACAATAATTTTTCTATTATTACTTATATATTATTTTAATATTTAATCTTAAATGTTATTATTTTAATGCATATAAATTAAAGAATGTGGGATTTGTTTATTTTATGAGTCGTTACTAAATGAATGAGCATCGGAAAACACGCAAGTCCTGAAGACAATATGGATTGTGCAAGGACCATGTGCATTGCAGATCTATCAAAATGCTTGATGATGTGGGTTGATTTACCCCTCCAATTATATTTTGCCATGTGGCGATAGAAACGCTTTATAACACCTCAGCAATACACGTACGTGGTAGGACCGTGCTTGGATGCACCTCGACAAATTAGTTTATGAAGCCTGAGCAAACTCCGACCTTGCTAAAGAGTGCCTTGGCAGATCAGAATCCTAGCCCAAAGTACTCACCCAATTTGGCTACACTGCTATCGCAACCTACGTGTTTGATCTGGGCAGCCCATGACCTAGGGGACTTCTTCGACCTCAAAACACCTCTCACCTACGTGGGATGCTTTCTCTCTTCTCTATTGGCACCGGATAGCCAGTCCGAAGCATACACAAACACAACGCCTATCTAGTAGCGACAAGACTGCTCACCCACGCTTCGCGGGGGAGTAGATAAGGACAACTGCAGTGTGATGCAAACACATCTCAGAAGCAACGTATGGATGAGGGGAAAACTTTGGCTGTTGGGACAGTTTCTAAAAATGCCAGGTTATCATTAAAATGGATAAATTAGTAATTATATCTTAATTTATTTTGACTAAATATCAAAGCATGGGCGTGAATAGGTGGTGAATTGCCCAGAAGGTGCCCAGCCCAGAAACTTTCTCAACAGCCTATGCTGTTGGGCCCTAACAGCCAAAGTTAACCCATGGATGAGCACCAACAGATCGGACTTGTCAGACATCACCATTGAGCCTCAAGGTCTATATAAGGGTGACTGTTCACGCTCAAAAGGTACACTCACATGTACACATACATGCTCTCATTTGATTCTTACTCTATTGCTTTCTACCACCTCAGAGAGCTTGGTACTCACTTGAACATTGAAGTTCTTTGCCTAGGAAATCCCCTCGGGCCCTCTCACATCATTTTTCTTGCAGACTCAGCTTATAGCTATGCCTACGAAGCTCCAAACTATCATCGATAGTAGGGATCTAGCATTTTTTACCTTCATCAATTGGCGTTGCTTGTGGGAACTCCCGAACACAAAGGCTGTTTCCTTTTTGCATCTTTAATCATCATTTCTTCCCCAAAGGACAGAGACACTCAACAAATTGTGTCTTATGCAAATGATTAGGAGGGAGTAACTAGCAAGCAGTTCGAGGATCTCGTGCAACTGATTAGGAGCATGAATGTTCGCCTTCGAGCCTAGGAGGATCAAGAAGCAACTGGATAACAACCACCTCATGAGCAGCCCACTGCACTGGTAAGGGGACAACTTCCAACACAGAACCAGAATAACCGACCACCAATGCCTCTAGAAATTCCTCCAGCTTCACTAGTACCTCAAAACAACATTAACAATGATAGCCTTACCCAGACCCACACGTCAGAGCAATGGGATCGTACCTATGTGCCTAACAAAGGGAGTAGAGCGAGCTCTTCCTACAAGATTGACAACTCATGCTCCACAGTGGCCTCCTGGTGAGATGATGACGTTCACTAATGAAGACCTAAAGAATGTCTACCTACTTCACCACGATGCCTTGGTTGTAAAAGTTCTTTTCTTCAAAGCTTTTCAATAGATGAAGATTGATCGAAAGCAGTCCATCCCTACCAACGTACCATTAGTTGATTTTAGTGAGGAAATTGTTCGTCCGATTGGAAAGATCAGCCTATCAATAACAGAAGGGACCATGCTGCGTAGGGTAACTTAATTTCTCATTGTCAAGACACCATCGCCTCACAATGTCATCTTGGGCTGCCCTTGGTTGCACACCCTCCGAGTTGTCATTTCTATAAACCACCTTGCCATGAAGTTCCTAATTGAGCAAGAGGTCGGTGTAGTTTGGGGGGATCAGTTTGAATCAAGAAATAGTTACATGGAGGCATTGAAGAGAAAGAAGTTATTAACTGTTGAACTGGACTTACCGGATGAGATCAGCGTCAACCGAGGATAGCCCGTTGAGTAGGTAGTGTTAGTGTCTCTCTCTTAGACTGACCCTAAAAAGAAGGTACAGATTGGCTCACTCCTCTCAGACCCTCTCCAAACTAAGATGGTAGGATTATTTCGATTAAATTTTGAGGTTTTTGCTTGGTCAACTGTGGACATGCATGGTATTGACCCTATTGTTATTACTCACAAACTTAACATAAATCCGAATTTTAGACCTATGAAATAGAAGAAAATGAATTTCACCCCAGATCAGTTAAAGGCCATTGGTGAGGAGGACAAGAAGCTCCTGAATGTCAATTTCATATGAGAGGTAAAGTACCCTAACTGGATAGCCAACATGGTACTCGCCAAGAAGGCAAATAGGAAGTGGCACTTGTGCATTGATTACACCAACCTGAACAGAGCTTGCCCGAAGGGAAAGATCCCACTCCCATTCATAGATTGGCTAGTTGATGCCATCTTAGGATTCAAGCAACTGAGCCTCATAGGTGCCTTTTTAGGCTATAACCATATCCTAATAGACCCCTTAGAATAAGAGAAAACAAGTTTTTTTTACTGAAACTAGATTGTACTGTTACCGAGTTATGCCGTTAGGGCTTAAGAACACTGAAGCAACATATCAACATCTTGTAATAAAACTTTTAAGAATTTAATAGGAAAAAACATTAAGGTTTATGTTGATGACATGGTGGCTAAGAGTAAGACTCTTATCTCACATATAGTCGATCTAACAGAAGTATTTGAGGTATTATAAAAATACTGATTGAAGCTCAAACTGAACAAGTGTGTGTTTAGCATCACCTTGGGAAAATTCCTTGGTTATATGGTAACTCACGTGGCATTGAAGCCAAGCCTAAGAAGATCCGAGCAATCTTGGATATGCAACTACTAATGTTCATCAAGAAATTTCAGAGACTCACTGATCGAGTTACGACACTCGACCGCTTTATGTCCAGGTCGACGGGAAGATGTTGCCCTTCTTCCAAGCAATCAAGAAGGTGAAAGACTTCCAATGGACTGAAAAGTGCCAATATGCGTTTGATGAACTAAAGGAATACCTCAACTCACCTTTACTATTGACGAGGCCTGAGCCTAGAGATGAATTCCACCTATACTTATCAACTACCAACAAAACCATCAGCTTGGTACTAATCCAAATGGTATGTAAGTATAGTCTTACATGTAGGCAAGACCAAGTACCCAAATATCGAAAAGTTTGCCTTCACCCTAATCATCTAAGCCCAGAAGTAGCGATCTTATTTCCAAGCTCATACCATCATTGTGCTAACCAACTAGCCGTTGCACCAAGTATTGTAGAAATCCAAAGTATCAAGAAAATTCACTAAGTGGGCAATTGAACTTAGTGAATTTGATGTCTGATTTGAGCTACAACCTGCTATTAAGTTTTAGGTCCTAGCCAATTTCATCACTGAACGTGCTTTCAACTAATGACACCGGAACTAGGGAAACCACTAGCCAACTCGGGGGCATCCACAAGTATGGAACCTTCATCTAGCTTGGAAGAACCTTAGATCCTCTATGTAGATGGCTCGTCTTGTCCAATAAAAAAGGCAATGGTGTCGGGATGATTCTGCTTTGACATGACAAAGTGAAGCTTAAGTATACCTTTTGATTCGGATTTAAAGCATCAAACAACAAAGCGAAGTACGAAGCACCGTTAGCCGAACTATTACTAGCTAAGGAGATTGGTGTGAGAAACATAGAAGTCTATAGTGACTCCTAGTTCATCGTCAACCATGTCAATAGATAGTACGAAGCTCGGGAACCAATGATGATCAAGTACCTGGTAAAGGTTCAAGAGCTCTCTAAGTAGTTCGATTCCTTTTCTATCCACCAAATCTCAAGGTCCAAGAACACACAGGCTGACACAGTTTCAAGGTAGTCGGTTCTGCGAACAACACTCGAAGGGCCATTCACATAAAAGGCCTACTGTGCCCTAACATAGAGAAAGTGGCAGAAGCCGAAGTTGCTCTAGTATAGACAATGAAGCTGAGTTGGACCGATCCCATTATGGAGTACTTGTGCCAAGGCGCGCTACACACCAACCGAACAAAAGCTTAGAAGACCAAGCGTCAATCTACCCGTTATGCCATTATCGGTGACCAACTGTATCGGAAGTATTTTACCCTGTCCTACCTCTGATGTCTTCGACCAATTGGGTTTGGGTACATGCTCATAGAAATCCATGAAGGAATCTGTGACAAACACTTCGGGGGAAGGTCATTCACCTAGAAAGAACTTTGACAAGGCTACTACTAGCCCACTATGAAGGAAGGCACAGTCCGATTAGTCCAATAGTACAACTGATGTCAACACCATGCCAATGTACCTAGTCAGCCTACCACCAACCTATAGTGCCTTACCAATCTATGGTAGTTTATTTAGTGGGGAATCGGCATCCTTAGTCATTTCCTACAAGCCACGAGCCAACGAAGGTATCTAGTGGTAGCTATCAACTACTTCGACAAGTGGGCAGAAACCAAACCACTAGCCACCATTATATCCTAGAACATTCAAAGATTTTTTGAAAGAGCATCATTTCAGATTCAAGCTACCATGGGTGCTAATTTCGAACAATGACAAACAGTTCACAGATATCAAAGTCGAGCTGGGGATTCAACAAAACTTCACTTTGGTTGCCTACCCTCAAGCAAACGAGCAAGCTGAAGTGACCAATGGGATAATCCTTTGTGGCTTGAAGACCCGACTAGCTTGAACTAAGAGACAATAGGTGGAAGAGTTGCCCAACGTATTATGGGCGTATAGAACTATGAGTAGGATAACCACCAAAGAGACTCCTTTTAACCTCACTTTCGTTACTAAAGTAGCCATCCCCACTGAGATTGAACTGCTGACCTKGAGATCAGAGGCTTATGATGAGGAAGAAAATGACAATGAACTCTATACCATCTTGGACCTAATAGAAGAAGTGCGAGAACAAGCTCAAGTCCAAACTACGATCTATTAGCAATGAGTAGCTTTCTACCATAATTCTTGGGTCAGGAGACGTTGCTACTGAGCTAGCGATCTAGTACTCCAGAAGGTCATTGGTTTCAAGAAACTCAGTCCGAACTAGGAAGGACCCTACAAAGTGGTTAAGGCATTGGGACCTAGGACTTACAAGCATGAAACCATGAAGGGAAGATAGTAGCCCATACATAGAATGCCAAGAACCTCAAAAGGTATTATAATTAAAAGTTTTGAACTCGTTTCACTAATTCAATTTTTTTCACTATTTCATTTGATTTATTTCAGTTCGATCTAACTCAGTTTGACCTTGCAAGTTGGGAACCTCAACCCAATTTTAGCTAGCACTAGGATGGATAACTCGGCCTTCATTGGCCAGGATAGCTCAGGTGGAGAACTACCAAACTACCTAAAAATCGCTTAGGCGACCTCGCTTTGCGCAACCCTGGTTAGGAAACATTAAGACTAACTCGAATGGCTTAGATTCAAATCAATCATTCAAAAGACAAAAAGACAGAAGAAAAAGCTTGCACAAGTCAATATACAAAAAGGGAGCCCGTTCCATTGCTTACAAAATTCTAGCAATAAACTGCCCAAAAAAAGGAAGAGACAAAAGTTGAGCTTGGAGGCCCAAAGTACATTAATTTATATTTATAGAGCCAAGAAAAGATGCAAATGGTCAAGTTAAGCAACACTAGGTGCATGTTGCCCGCAATTACGTTGTCACCCCTAGTCTCTACATCATGTTCCTCCTCTTCATCGGGCCTTCTTTAGCACCTCCTCAATCTAATGGTTTTATCTTATATTAGTTAGGGCATATTTCTTAAAGTATCTCTAAGGTTTAGGAAATTGACTAACTCTAACTCTACCCTTACTGTTTACATATTGTCTTAAAGTACCCATAGTTTTCTAACAATTATCTAAAACCTCCCCTACCGTTACACTCTGTCACAAGTGACATCACATGACTGATATATTTTTAAAAATTCCTAAAATACCCTTTATCATCTTTTGCAGTGATTTTTGGGATCCAACAAACCCTAACTTGTTCTGATGATTGTAAGAGAACTTGATAGTAGCAGCCCCGTTAGCCCCCAAAAGACCAAAAATCTCATTCTCTCTCTTTCTCTCTCTCTCTCTCTCTCTCTCTCTCTCTTAACTCTATTCTTTATATATCTTTTCTCATTCCATAAATCCATAACCAAACTTGACACCAAGCTTCTTCTCTGGCACCAGACGATTGATTCTAGCTATTACACTATTCGACAATAAGAAAAAGCCAACCAAATATTAACTCTAAGGCCAAAAATTACCAAACCTTGTTTTGCCACCGTATGCTTGACAACAAATCGAGTTAGGTTTCTACAAAGGCAAGCATAGCCGAGACGACCTATTGCAAACACCGGAGTTGGAAAAACCAACCCTTAAGGGGTTAACTTTGGCTGTTGGGGCCCAACAACATAGGATGTTGAGACAGTTTCTGGGTTGGGCACATTCTAGGCAGTTCACCTATTTACGCCAATGATTTGGTATTTAGTAAAAATAAATTAACATGTAATTACTAATTTATCCATTCTCAGAATAATGTAGCATTCCCATAAATTCTCTCAACAGCCAAGGTTGTTGGCCTCCAACAACTAAAGTTTTTCCACCCTTAAGCACTTCGTTGAACATGTAACCACTTAGCTCAACCACCTCTAACTGGGGTGGTTCTTGAAACAATAATTGGAATAGAAGCCCAGATAACGAGATGTTTATAACCATCTCCACTAGATTGGAAGGTAGTTTAAGTAGAAAACTAGTGAGCATGTTGAAAGGTGGTTTGGGGGAGGCTTCCGGTTAGGGCGTTGTGGGAAATGTCCAAAGAACCGAGAGATGTAAGTTGTTCAAAAAAATTTACGTCTCTTCTCTGTAGCTTGTAGGTTCTTAATTAATTTAAACAAAAAAAATGAGATTTGAGAGGGAGAGAGTGTGCTTTTCAATCTTTTTCTTTTCGAAGTCTAAAGAATATGTGAATGTCTGATCGAGAATTTGGGGTAGCTTGGACTACTTTGGATAAAGACGGAAACGACATCTATTTTGCACTCGTCTGACTTTTGAGTCGGTTGTCCGGTGTTGGAGAAGAATCTTCGAGTCAAAAATTGGTTTTGGACTTCTGGAACAAGTCAAAGAAGCAAAGGGGTCTGTTCTTATGCCATGGTTGTTGGGGTTTGTAACAGGTAAGCTGTTTTATTTTGGAACGACATGATTGTTTTATTTTGAAACGACATCTATTTGACATTGTACTTCTTTCTATTATATTTAATGAGGATGGCAATTGTCAGAAAAATTAGAGATAGTTTAAGACAATATATAAATAGTAAGGGTAGAATTAGTCAATTTTCTAAACCTTAGGAGTATTTTAAAAAATTTGCTATAATAATTATTAGAAGATAATGTAATTAATTATAACTATTAAATATTTTTAATAATTAATTATGAATTTTATTAGCTACTAAAATTTTACTACTATTAGTTATCTTATTTTTCTCCTTCTAGTTTTTTAGATATCATTTTTACTTATTTTAATATTCAAGTTTTAACTAAAATATTAATATTTTTAAACGTCTAATTTATTAATATTAAATAAAACTAAAATTATAACTTAAATAATACGGCAGTTGTGTATTATGGGTTGTTGCCAAATAAACAGGGACTTAAATCATACAGTACTCATGTACAATACAGGTCAATGCATAATAAATAAGGATCAAATTGAGAAAGGCTGTATAAGTTCAGGTCACTGCCATCAATTAAACAATGTCAAAATTGATTTTTAATGGTCAAACCAGGGTTCTGAGTCAGGATTGAGTTGCTCTAAACTACGGATGAACATGGGCCGACCGGACTTTTTACAACATATACAAGGGATATAGGCCGGGCCCGGGCCATGCTTGATTCGGTGCCTATGTCTCTGATGCATAAAAAACTACATATATATACAATTTCATAGTATATGTGATATGATATGTATGTAAAATTTATTTTATACATTATCTAATACAAAATATTATAAAATCTTACACAATATAGCATAAAATTACATATTAATATATCTATATATATATAGATATATATATAAATTATGTTAAATTACCTATATATCAAAGTTTTCGAACTACTGTTGACTCGGGCAGTCGGACTGTTCAGCCTGAAAACCATCCAGGCAACCATTTTTGGTTTACCCAAAACCCTATTTTTTATCAAAAATCATTGAAAAACTAAACAACCCATTGACTCAGGCGATCAATCCGTCGACCCGTTCAACATTCTATGACTGTTTTTTATTTTTAATTATTTTATTTATTTTTAATTTATTTATCAGAGTGATCCATCTATTCAAAACAGATGGTCAAACCATCAACCCGAAATTTCTAACAAAACTCCAGATATATACACTTAAAAACGTTACTATATATACACTTATGTGTGGGCTGGGCAAGTAGGGTCAAGCATTAATATTAGGCTCAGGCCCAGAACTTTTGTGCCTATATTTTAAATTCGAGCTCAAAGTCTTTAGATCAACTCGAATTCGAGCTCAAACTCAAGCCTGATAATTTATTGGTGTATCGAACTCGAACTTGAAAAGTCAGATATTCGATTCGGTTTGATTGAAATCCACCCCTAATACCCTTATTCTAAACTGACTTTAAATGTATCTTCAAAACTCCAGAACCGAACCTAAATTGATTTAAACGGGATTTAAAACCACAGAAATTTCTAACAAAATCATACGAAATTTTATAGGGCCAAACCGGCACAAGAATTAAATACGCTCGTTGGTTGGCCGGAAAAAGTGATAAATCGCCAGTGAAAAAATTTTTAATATTCTACCTAAAATTTTAAACAGTCTATTTGCACGATCGAATAACAATTAAATGCGCTCTCTAGTCTCATACAAGGTTACAAAACAAGTCCGGATTCGAACATGTTAACAGGAGATGATCAATCTTTCATGGGAAGCTAGTCTGATTAAACTTGTCTATGATTTGAACAACAGTATATAATCGTTCTAATAGTTCTGAACTTCTGATGCCAATTTTTCAGGCCAAGAGAATGGCAGCATTACCTGATAAGAAGAAGTTGCAGTTCCGAAAAGAAACGATTGAGGAAACTGGCTACGATCCAATGCACAACCGATGGAAATGAGCAGTTGAAGAAACAAAACAAATGCCAAAGTTATCTTCATCATTACTTCTTTCTATTAACAGGTAGGTGTTTATCCTCTCTCTGTTCGATGTTTGCCAGATAATTAATATTCTGGGATAGATGGAGAAAGGGATTTGGACAATTTTTAGTTACGAGAAACTCAGGAATGTAGGAGATTATCCTGCAGCAGGTGGAGATTTTGCGCTCAAGCCCAACAAACTCTCAACTTACCAGTAATGTGTTAGATTTTGCTCTCAAGGCCCAACAAACTCTCAATTTCGTCAAACAAAACCGAAGTGGTAAAAAACGGTGAAAGAGTTGCCCTTTTTAAGGAGAAAAAACAGATTGTTTATGGTCTAGGCTCTGTTCGATAGCACTAGATTCTCACGCTGAAGTCCAATTATATCTTCAGCCTTAACGTCTACTAATTGGGATCCACGGGTTTTATTAAAAAAAATTGAGCTTAGGGGTGAGCAAATAGATAAGTTTTACATGAAACCGAATGGAATCGACCTTGAACCGGCCTTAAACCAATCCTACCCAATTTTTTATAGGGTAGGGTCTGGTTCCAAATTCTTGGATCCGACTCCCACTCAGGCCGGTTCCAGGGTCTAGGGGTTTACCCTACTTGAACCAACCCAATGAACCAACCTTGGTTGGCCCTAGGGGAACCTACCTTAGAGCTAAACTTTCCTTGAAATAAACCTCGAAATACTTTTGGGGTTGTAAAGATTTGATCCCAAGCACTCATAGGTATAAAGGCCATGGTCTCATTTGACCATTGAATTACTTTAAGTAATTTAATCATTTGTTTTATTTGAATTTGATTTGTTTCATCACTAGCTCCCACAACCACCCAGGCATCCGTTATACTAATAACAATGAGAAGAAATAAAGGAAAAACAAAGCTACAACAAACGTAAGAATTATTTCTAAAGACAAAAAACACTTAAAAACCAATAAAAAACCACAAAAAAATCATCATGTGAGAACAATTTAGATTAGGCAAAGTGACTCATCTTAGGTATTAGAAGCCTTATGGAATTAGGCTATATTTGCTGCAAAGAAAGAAAATACTTAAAAACAATAAAAAAACTATAAAAACAATTCATCATGTGAGAATCATTTACTTTTGGCAAAGTGACTCTTCCTAAGTATCAGAAACCTTATAGAATCAGGATACATTTGTCGTAAAGAAAGAAAACACTTAATAACCAATAAAGAAATAAATAGAAAACAATAATAAAAGCAACTCATCTTGTGAATACTTTTGGAAAAGTGACCCCTCTTAGTATGAGCATCGGAAAACGACTCACTTATGCTAGATTTGGAGTCTTCACTCATCAGTTATAGAAATGGAGGTGATGGAACCTCCAGGAATGGCATTAAAAATCATTTCGCATTAATAATGACTCTAGAGCCCAAGGCACCGGCTAAACCATTTCGGGTAAGACTTAGATGGGAGAGGGAAGGGGCTAGCCACCCCTCTCTTAGGTCCAATAGGTGAGGCCAATTGGGGTTATAAACAAGCATAAACACAAATATCCAAATCCTTAACTATGAACATATTAACAAGGGAGATAGCAAAACAAGCTAAAAGAAAATCAGCATAAAATAATTTGTCCTAACTCTGTCTTATTTATTTTATTACCATAATTAATATTATTTCCTTACCATCCATTTTTCATCTTTATATTTATTATATTTTTTCTTTTTTGTAACTGGGAGTTTAACATCAATAATCTTCTCCGACCCTAGTATTGCTGATACCACATAACAAAATATGGCTGGCGCCTCTTGAGAAATTGAACCAAGTAACACACAATTCCAACAGATACATTTATGCAACTAAGATAATGATGAAATACTCCTAAGCAAATTGCTTGCGGAACAAAGCAACATCATCAACATGTCGATTCTTCAAAACGGTAAACATAGTAAATATAAAGGCAGAGGCAAAAGGAAAAATGCATTAAGCTCCGAGCCTCATCAATCGTCCATTCGAATAGAGATTAATTATCACATAATATTAGAATGAGAAATAAAAAGAAACAAAAGACAGTCATCACAACCACGAGAGAGGAAAATCAATAAAAAAATTATAGGCGATACTAGGTTAATGTTGAGAGCCCATAGGCATTGGATCAGTGGAGCTCCCTCTTCGGCTCTATTGRACTCTCACACTCCCGAGAACCTCATTATGCTAAAACAAAACTAGCAATAATGAGAAGGATAGTGAATTAGAGAGAAGACTCTACCTGGTTGGATGTTGAACTGAACACGGTCGATGGAATAGGGGAAGCTTCAGATAACCTGTCAACCCCAGGAAGATCTTGGCAACCTTAGGAGTGATTCTACACACCCTAACAACCCCAAGTGTGATCACATACCTTGGCCCCAAGAAGGCCCTATCAACCCTAGGAAGGCCTTGGCAACACCAAGTGCGATCACATTCCATGGCAACCCCAGGAAGGCCTTGGCTACCCTAGGAGCGATTCTACATACTCTGGAAAGATAGGAAGGCCTTGGAAACCCCAAGTATGATCACATACCCTGGCAACCCCAAGAAGTCCCTAGCAACCCCAAGAACAATTCTACATACGCTATCAATCCCAAGAGCTGAAGGAAGGTTAGGATCCATCATATGGAGGGCCAAACCATGCTAGATGGCTAGCGAACCTTCAAAAATTTTCTTAACCTTCTGGGAATCGAATTCCCTAATTTTTGAAAATTTGCATTTTTCTAGGATTGATCTTGCAACTAGATCAAATTTGAAACCAAAACAAGAGGGAGAAGTATACCTGATACGGATTCCACAAACGTAGTTCTCAAAGTGGAAGTTCACGCCCAAACCAGTCCCTAAAATCAGCTTCCATTGAAGATGGCACAGCTTAAGGTTGAAGCCGATTCAATAATGCAATTTTCAGCAAAACTGCAATCCAACTCCTTGGAACGAACTGGGGAGGTGAGCACGATTTTTCTCTATATTTTTTTTGCAAAATTCAGAGAAAGAACTGATCTTTGTTAGTCCCAAAAGGTGAGGTCGAACTAGGGTTTCTTGGGCGGCAAGAAGAAGAGAGAGCAAAATTTGCAGTAGTTGTTTAAAGTAGTTCGCCCTCTTCTTCGTTTATCCTTTATGGGGCACTTCTCCTGACCGAATTAGGAGATTTATCCAAATCTTTATTTGGATCTTGACTCTATCAAGAGATAAGACTTATCCTTTTAAGAGAATGGGTGCTCTATACCCATTTCCAAACCCAGATTCGCCCATGTCACATGACAGCTTAAGCAGTCATGTGACATCTTAATTAATAATATTGATTATGGGCTTTAGTCCCATTAGCTATATGGCTCACGACCCAAGAGTATCACTTGGCTATTTAAGTTTGATTTGTATGGTGTGGGACCCCACAATGACCTCACATAAGCCCACATGGGTTCAGCCCAACCTCTGTGAAAAGGCCTAGCTGAATTCACTACTAAATGCAGTGAACCTCTGAGTACAATCACTATGGGCTCAAAATGGGTCCAACATTTGTAGTTAAATGATCATTGAATCCAACCATCCTATGAAGACAGAAGGATAATGGGCTTAAGTAAGATATAGCCCATCAGGTAATCAACCCTTAATGGTCTCTTACACTTTACCTCTCAGCCCACAATGATCAAACACTACTGACAAAGAAGGACCTCTCCCTTGACTGCAAGGTGCAGTGTTACACTCTCTACTTGGATGGATCCCGGGAATTAAATATATATATCATATATATTTTGTAAAACCAAGTCTCGAACATAGTTGAAATCCACTACTAGCAGTTTAGGTTTCCATCAAAGAGAGTGTAGTCCTTGTTAGACAGTTTATGCCCTTAACTCCAATTAAATAGGTGTACATTTTGACATTTATTGTAAATAAATAAAGTATATAATTGATTCATGTTATCTATGGTGCATTTCTGTGTAATACCCTTAAACTGGACACTTATGAGACTCGTGTTAGTTTAGAATCTTTATAGCCATTGGATAGACCTGGGGTAGTTTATCCTGCCAAGGCTGACACTAATGTGCTGCCAAGTCGGTTGGGGTGGTTTGTCTCAACTGCTAGAGTGAGACCTGAAGCACATGTAGTGTGGGTTTGCTTGAAACCCTGAACCGGACCATTTTCCAGTTATGCCCTGGACCTTGGAGACAAATGGGCAAAACTGGAAAGTTACACCGAACCCCTAGACTCGATTATGCTATTGCACTAGGTGTTGGATTGAGCTGTCTTTGATATGCCAATCAGTGAGATCCTTAGCGGGGGTCAAAACCTGTGTATGTTGGGGCAATCTGAGAATTCACCTTAGTGGGTGATCATAGTGACAGAATCAGCCCCTTTGTTGGACAAAGTGAATGATCGGGGAATGCACTCTCTTTGATGGAAACCCAAACTACCGACAGTTGATTTCAAACTTGTTGAGATTTGTTTTGCAAAATATATTTGTATAGAGATATACATATATATTATAGTTTCACAAAATGTTTGCAAAAGGTTTTGATTCCTGGGATCCATGTGAGCAGAGTGCAACATTGCACCTTGCAGCCGAGGAAGAGGTCTTCTCTTGTCGGGCAGTGTTTGATCATTATGGGTTGAGCAGTAAAGTGTAAGACCATTTAGGGCTTTTACCTGATGTGCTAATCTCACTTAAGTCCATAGTCCTTGGGCCTTCATAAGGTGGTTGGACCCAAAGACCATTTAGTGTAAATGTTGGGCCTACTAAGAGCCCATACTAATAGCTCAGGGGTTCACTGTGTTCAGCAGTGAATTCGACCAGGCCTTATAACAGAGGCTAGGCTAAACACATATGGCTTTCGTGGAGATCAATGTTAGGGTCCCACACCATACAAAGAGAGCCAAGCTAGCTAGCAAATTAAAGAGGAAGTGAGTTTGATTACTTAATCGGCCTAAAGCCCATTTCAAACTGGGCTAATTAGATTAATTAATTWTGGGCGATTTTGAGATTAGATCTGCTTCTAGATCAGCAAGAGGATAAGATATATCTT